CCCTTTTTTTTTTTTTATCTTTCTATAATCATTTTTTTTTTTTTTTGAATTTATGGGCAAGAATAGGTGACAGTTAATTTGGAATTTTTGGTTTTCGAAAATTACATTAAATTAATTTAGAATTTAATTTAAAATTACATTGTTACATAAAATTGTTTTAGAATTTTTACTTTGAATTTATATTATATTTATATTATTTGGTTTGAGAATTCACCTAATGCTTGCACGTAATCTTATTTACATATGAAATTTTTAACTAATAATCGACATACTTACTTTCATAATATGAGATTCATTTTAACCTAAAAATTCTTACTTGATCATTCTTATTTTTATCACACTTTCAAAAAACAATACTTACTTTTACAATTACGTTATCAATATACCTTCATGAAAATTCAAAATTCTGATTTCTAAATTATCATATATTTTCGACCAATAACAATCCATATTTATTTTTATAATCATCTCCATCATCCTCCAATTAAATCCAACACTCGACCAAAATCCGAAATTATCACCTCGTCACACATTGAAGAAGCTGAAAAGTCAAAGCCAAAGCTTTCGTATTCGTCGGTGGCGCCCGAGATTAGAGGCTCGCGAGGAACGCGACACGATGCAGTTTCCCCCATCATCGTCGTACGCGGCGTGTACACGGGGGTTTGTCGCCGCTTTCAAGGGATCCGGTATTGCGGTCGGAACACCGAACAGCGCTCGAGGCTCTTCCGGGGGCTTAACACACACACTCCACCCCCTGTAGGCGGAGTGTACCGCCTACGAGCTTCCCCTACCACCTATCCAAGCACTGATACGCGATATCAAGGAACACTTGTTGCTCCACGGCGTACAGAGCGAATCTCCCGCGCCAACTCCCGTACCACGATTTTTCACGTGCTGATTTTTCCACCACCCTCGTCCACGAGCCACCCCACCTCCCCAATGCGTAACGTTGATCCCGTTCCATCTCGTTAAACCCCGCGAAACGGTGAAATTTTCGCGCGCTTCTATCCACTGCTGATCGTCTTGCCTCGTTCCGCCTCGGTTAATTTCGTTTCCACTCGGTCTGTCTCGCTCCCGATCGGTTAATTTCGTTCTCGCTCGGTCCGTCTCGCTCTGTGCCGTGGCTCGCGGCTGTTCGCCCGTCCTTGTTTACATCATTGGTACACTCAGCCCGGTTTCGCCGACCGTTTGGGTGCGTGGTGCGTGTTGGCGGGTATCGG